TAAAAGAGGTTAGTAGCTAGATAAGCCCTTTCCGTTACTCTACACTACAATGTCCTCCAGAGTAAGGTCTTTTCTATTGCACTCTACTCTCTGTCTTCTCTCACTAACACAACAACTCACACAACTCTCACAAATATACACTTACTCTCACACAGCGGACTGATTGGCCAGACCTGTTCTTCCTCTCAAACAGGCTGTCATCTCTTTAAATCTGTTGATCTTACTCTCTGGACAATTCTCTCTAGAAGTGTCTTGTAACCAACCCTTCAAGGGTCCCCTATATGGCTCTTCTCCCTTTACCAAACCATACAGTGCTTCTTTACAATCTCCTCCAAGATTGCTGCCCTCATTCTGCCCCCTAACCAGGGTATACAGCTCCAGCCAACAGATATTTGCAATAGTAACATTGCACACTTGCTTCTAACTGGCAGATAAGTAGCGAACGGTTCAGCCCACTTACTTCTGAGCTTCAGGACATGGGAGACCTGATATTGTGTCTGCTCTCATCTGCAGCTACTGTAGCTCAGGAGTGATGTCCTGGCTTGGTCTCCCCTGAGGGAACTACTCCACCTTCGCTCTGTCACAACTGTACCTCATTATTATCCCAACTCAGCTCAGCTGTGCTTACCTAAGTAATCACCTAGGTACTGAGGCATCCCCTTCTCAATGAGGGCTCCACCCTTTAAAGAGGTCACACCTGGATGGGATTACAATTTGTTTAGTGTGTCAGTTCTCTACTTTGGTATATATTATTTTAACTTCACATTCCTGATATTAATGTTAAACATTCAGTCAACCTGTTGCATTTTTAGTTTTTGTATTTTAGTTATTCTAATAATTTTTATTTTCCTTTACTTCCCAAACAGAAAGTGCTATACTGTGACTTAATAATGGAAAACAGTGATTTTAACAATAATGGCAATCATCCCACTGAATAAGATGAACTTCAGCAAAGGAATAACCTTAATTTCATGTAAAATATAACCAGTGTAGTGTTTGTTTCATTTACAAGTAATATTGTGTGTAAATTGACCTAAATAAATGAAGGTAGCTTTGACAATATACCTCTATGTTAATAGACAATGGAATTCCAGTAACCTACTCAAAATAAAGTGATAAAATTTCACTTTAGTTGAATTGTAAAAAGGGCAAATTATAAGATGAATTAAAACATCATTAATGGCATTAATGGCATACTGTAAAAGCTTGTCTAAATCACTCAAAGAGATATGCAACCAAATACTGACTTTTTGGCTAAGTATGCTACGTAAATGTGTTGCAGTACTTACAGAAACTTTGAATCATTGAGTTGAACTCCAGGCATGCATGGAATCACCCAAAAATGACAAATATTGCGCTTATTTGCATTACTACAAATACAAAATTGCTTGACTGAACAAATAAGTTTTGACATGCTGTTTCAAAATAACTGTTTGCACGGCACGTAACCTTCTTGTTTTGCTTAGTACAGTGTATAATGAGTACATAAGAAAATAAAAAAACAGGATACAGTGTCTATATACAGTAAATAATATTGTTAATGACAATATGAAACCTGTGTAATTAAGAATAGAGATCCTACTTTTGCTGTTACAAATGCATTACAGAATTGCCAGATTTCTTGACTTGACAAATTTTATTGAAATACTGTAGGATTACTTAAAATAATAGACTTTTGATCTTTTGATAGTCTTTTGAAGCTAAGAATACTTTACACAAAAAGGTGAAGCCTGGGATACCTCTGATGTATACTTGGAGGATTTTTTTAAATTGTTCGTATTGGAAAAAACACACATCCAACTAGAATTCATTAAGCAACCTGGACAAATGTGCTTTATATCTGGAAAATCTGCTTTTTTGAGAAATTCTCTTGACCTGTTGATCTAATACAGTACCTGTTATTGCATTAACTAATCTTTTATGCTTATGTTATAAAACCTTAATAAAAATTGAAATCAGTACACTTTTTCCATGATTATTTCTCCTTGTTTCAAAATAAAAATAGTCACAACATCACCGTCTGAAATATTTTTTATTAAAAAAAATGGTAATCAGGTGGGTGGCATAGTGGTTAGTGTTGCTGCCCTGGCTTCAGCTGCTGGGGTGGGATCTGTACCGAATTTATGTTCTCCCTTTGTTCGCATGGGTTTCCTTCAGGTGCTCCAATTTCCTCCCACAGTCTAACCATTTACTGGTAAATTCTGGGAAGATTGTCCCTGACATGGACTGGCGTCCCTGCCTTGCACACACAGTGTTTGCTGGGATAGACTCCTGCTCCTTTATGATCTTGTATTCAGTAAAGTGGTTAGAAAATGGATGGATAGATTGTAAGGAAGTTAGTATTTATGTAAAAGGATTATTAATTTATGAACTGACAACAGCAGCTACAAAAGGCTGTTTCACCCTCATAGGCAAAATGAGGCAAAAGTGACATGCTTGAATGATTACTGCCCAGTAGCATTAACATCTGTGGTGATGAAATGCCTGGAGAAGCTGGTGTTGTCACACATCAACTACTCCTCCTCCTGGACCCCTTGCAGTTCGCCTACCAGAACGACAGATCAGTGGATGATGCTGTCTCATTGGCTCTGCATACAGCCTTGGAACACCTGGAGACTAAGAACTCGTATGTGAGAATGCTGTTTGTGGACTACAGTTCAGCATTCAATTCCATCATACCAGTCAACTGGTGACAAAGCTCTGGGGATTAGGTCTGTGCAACTCTGTCTGCAACTGGCTGCTGGACCTTCTAATCAAGAGACCACAGGTGGTGCGGATAGGCAATAAAACATCAACACCACTCACCCTGAGCACTGGAACCCCACAAAGCTGCTGTCTGAGTCCAAGGTTGTACTCCCTGTTCACTCACGACTGCACAGCAAGACAGCAACAACCTCATCATTAAATTTGCGGATGACACCACTATAATAGGCCTGATCAGTGATGATGACGAGTCCACTTACTGCTGCACCATCGAGAGCATCCTCACCAACGGGATCACCGTGTGGTATGGCAACAGCTCTTCGCGAGAAAGAAAGGCACTGCAGAGAATGGTCAATATGGCCTTGAAGATCATCGGCTGCGGTCTCACCGAGATTAAACAGCTGTATGAGAACCGCTGCCGTGGTAGAATTCTGGCCATCACAGAGGACAGTCACCACCCCGGGCATGAGCTCTTCACCCCACTGCCCTCAGGCAAGAGATATAAGAGC